TCTTGTGCCTTCGCGTATCCCTTTCACTATCATCTCAACCGAAAAACACAGTAAGATTTGAAGACAGGCAAGGATTTTTACTCTAGTGAATTCAGGTTTAACAAACTTTATTAGTTTGTTTGTGTACATATTGGCGTTAAACAACTGCGCCATCTCTTCAGCTTTGTCACAGGTACGTTTGTCAACGCTCCTGGCTTCTCGGTCTTCATACCATTCCTGTTTATAGACTTTAACCACGCAACGTTTTCCTTCTCGGGAGGAATCACCATAAAACATTCCTACAAAAAGCAGTCGGAAGAGCCCCTGAGCGAACCAGTTGTTCTCGAACTCCACCCTGACAGATGTGTCATCGATATCTTCAGAGGCGTTACTTATTCTTTGACAACGACAACCCATTTTGCAACGGTCGAGTTAATTCTGAAAAGAGAGAAAAATATCCAAGCTCTCTGAAAAGGTACAATCCGGCAAAATGGTTGGGACACCTCTTTAGCCTCCAACGACCACTCACTCCCCGCTCCCCCGGTCAATGTTGTTCTATCCAGCTGATGGAGCACACACCGCGTAATCAGAGACAACATTGAGCGGGTGCCGGGGGATTGGGGGCCTAGCGAGATTTTGCTAAGATTGTAGATACATGTACGTTTGTTTATTGAACCAGCGATATCAGTCGTGAAATTCAGCTCACTTCCATTTTTCTCTGAGCACTGAGAACTGGTAACATTATCTGTCATAATTTAGTGCGTTATAAGTAAAGCAACGTGTCGCTGTTTTTTTAAACAATAAATCATTCAATCCAGGAAATCGAAAATAATTATAATGCCCATTCTAGACTACTTTTAAAGGCTATTGCCAGTAATACAGATTCTAGTCAAGACTCGGTCTCCAGTCTGAACTCGTTTCGAGGTTTTGGGCTTGTGACTTGGCTCTTACTCGTGGCATTTATACTCGGCATGGCTGGGACTCGGCTAGTGACTGACTCAAAACTGTCCGTCGGACTCGAATCGAGACTCTAGACTTGAGAAAAACTTTAAGATGGTTCCAAACATTGTCCCACCTCTGTTGTCTGATAATTTTAACTCTTCCCTGATAATAATAACTCTTTTAACACTAGACTCGGACTTGGCAATTTGGACTTGGACTTGGACTCGTATAAAAATGGACTCGTACTAGGCTCAGACTCGAGCCTTCGTGGACTCGGTTTTGCTCGGACTCAAACGATGTGGACTCTGCTACATGTACATCTCTGGCAATTACTGTTATGTTGCACAAACAAAAGATAAATAGCATTAACACAGGGCAATCCAAATTTCACATGTAAAACTCACCCTTTTCCAGGAACTTTCTTGAATTATGGATAGTATTCAGATTCGGAATTCCTCAGGAAAACAACTTGAATGTAGCTTACAGTGGTCTCGAGCTGAGCAAGTTCTTGGCCTCAACTGATTCCAAATGTGCTGTCTGCTTCGTGGAGATCAGGTGCCGGGTTTGCTTTAATACCTTCTATAAATAGAACACTGGAAAAACCCGAGATGTGCAAAGTTGCAAAAAGAGTGCACCACTTTTTAAAGGGGTGACTTCCAAACGGATAAACTAGACTCAAAGCAGTTCGAAACATTTCAATAGACTGCCTTGGATTGGTCAATTTGGTATTTGTAAAAGCAATTGCTGTACTGAAATATTTGTTTTAATAAGAACAAACAAAATGAAGTTGCTTTGGTCTATGGCAGTCTACTAGTGTTGAGAACGTGATGTCCATGAATCAACACACAAATATTACAAAGGCAAGTCGGTAGGATGCCTTATTTCTTGTCATGGAGGCAAAATGCTTCCTCGTGGTGTTCATCGAGGAAGGTTGTTCTGTAGGTAGGTTTAGAGAAACACGTTACCAATGGTGTTAATATAGTTTACACCCCCACCATCCAAATGGAATTTCCCGTGTTTTACCAGTCATTTGTATTTGCTGGTCCACTATAAAGCAACTACCGGCAACCGATCACCGCACAAAGACTTGAAATCAACTGGCGCTTAACATCACTGTGGTGTTTTCTCAGTCTGATGTTTTTCGTCTTTCAAACATCAGGGGTGATGGTATAAGGGCCTACACTCCGGGCAAAAGTTGTCTGGACAATGCGTAAGTTTACACGTGTTGGTTTTGCAATTTGGGCGTTCATGGATAATTACAAAATTATAGGCTGATACAAAAAAGGTATAGCAAAAACAGAATGCTGTTAATCTTGGCGAATAACAAAACAGACTGAAGACAAATGATCCGCTTGTGACTTTATTGATTGTTTGCAATAAGGGATTATATATTAAAGTCACAAAAGGATGTCCAGTGTTAGTGGTACAGTCCATCATTTGTAATTTGTGCATTTTGTTCGTTTGAAGCAACAAATGTACTCAAAATCCAAAGAAGGGTGCTGAACAACTGACTTGAAGCTGGGCTTCAGCCCTATATTCCTTTGTGAAAATTCAGTTCTCATGAAAATGTTTGCGCTGCGCGGTAACTCATGTTCAGCATTTAATGTTGTTGGTTTGAAACGATGGGCAACACTCGAAGCTAAAAAAAAAGTCAGGGAAGGGTTTTTCTTGTTGGTTTGTTGTGAGTTCTTTTTTGTTTTTTGGGTGGTTTTTTTTGGCAAACGTTTCGCGGAAAAAATCGAAGGTTTTAGGGTTGAAGCATATTACTTCAGGTTTGATAATGGAATTACTGTACCAAATTGCCTAGTCAATTACGGAAAGTCTCTGAAATTACACCGATCTCAACCGGGAAACATTTTTACCAGACTTCTGAAAATTGAAAAGAACTTCTGCTGAGAAATCATGTTATGTTCTGTTATCACAAACGACCTGAACGCTCTGCTCTTACAGATTTGCATTGTCCCCTTGAGCTGTCGTCTTCAACATTTTCACCTCTGGAAGTGCAAGCATCTTAGGTAAGTTGATCTGACCGACTATAGAAAAAGATTGTCCGTTGGCTGGTTCATAGGTTGAGGTGGTTGTCTTTCTGGTAGAGAAATTCGATTTTACGGTACAGAAACTCGCCATCTGATTGCTTTTATGTCAAATTTTGCTATTAAAAGAAAGTGTAAAGTTTAAAAGAAAATGAAAATAATATAGATGACGTCATCATTAGGCCATTTCGGATTTTTGGTTCGATCAACAGAACATATGGATTTTCTGTTTTGATTTTAATGCATGTTAAGAAATATTCTGTATTGATTATGTCATGATGTCAGACACGTCACAATTTTAACATTTTATGCTAATCTTAGTTTAGGAAAATTATTGAATTTAATATGTTCTGTTTGTTACTGTAACCAAAAAAGAGAGAATATTTTATCATGCTGTGTAAGTATGGTGTCCCCCAAGGGACATAAGCAGTCATGATATTTATTTGGTGACGCTGTGTAGTTGTTCATGACTGGTTATGAATTTTGCTTTCGCGCCACCTACATTTAGTCAAATAGTCATGATGTGTATGCCTCGCGGCGAAGCCGAAGGGGCATGCTATTTTTCCGCCTTGTCCTTCCGTGGGGGTGTACTCTAGTCTAATATACTCTTTTTTGGACCTGTGAACAAAAGAGGTCCACATTATGCAGAAAGTGTGAACGTGGACTTGCGGCGTCCAGACTACGTTCCCCTCTCTCTGGAAACATGTTTGATATGCATTTGGGAGTTTCTGTCCGGCGCGAACTAAAGAGGATCACACAAGGAAATCATGATAAAAAGTGAATTAAAATAGTGTTTACAGTGCACTTAAAGTGATTTTTGTTTCTGTCGGTTTTTCTTAATTACACGAACACACAGGACTGTCCACAGTATATATGTAAGGCAAAGCTTTGTATACACATTCAAATCGTGAACGTTGAACAATAGAGGATCATAATGGTGTATGATTGACCATATGGTCCACGATTGACTGAAGGTTCACAATTGAGATTCGTGTACAAAATCAATCAGAGCTGTTAAAAAAGTTAAGGTACATGCAAGAGAAGGACAATATGAAGTCTACCGTTGCAGGTGTATAGGTGTTGTGCGTCCGTAAAAAAAATCCTCTTAGCGCGATTACTTGAGAAATACTTTACAAATGACTTTCACATTTGGTTTGTGGATTGCTGTTTGTAATCCTAACAAGCCTATCACGCTTGGGGCCGAAAGAACAAGGGTTAAGGGCACAGTGGCAAAAACACTAAAACAAAAATCTTGTCGGCGCGATAACTTATGAAATACTTGTGCATGATTTATGCCCCAGGTGAAGGTAGTGTTGTAGTTGAGTACTTTTTTCTGAGTACCGAATACTGCCGAGTACTTGGGTTGCCGAGTACGAGTACGAGTACTTGTACATCCGAGTACAAGAACATGTCTTCCAATACGAGTATTTGTACTTCCGAGTACGAGTACTTGTATTTCCGAATACGGCCATACGGCAAATGGTTCCTGGTGCGCCAGCCAGAATTACAGACCCACTCTCGGCTAGCTGTTAAATGTGTTTTTACGGACGCGCACAGGGGAGAGTCACGAAACAAGCCAATCAACCATTTCAAACTGAAAGTATTGATAAGATAAGGCCGTGGAAAGCGCAAGCTATACCATGTTTTCCCGACTACTGCTATTAGAGAACGAGTACCTTGATGATCGAGTACAATTTCGACATATCGAGTACGAGTACTGTGCTGCCTGAGTACCAGTACCGCCATTTTGAGTATGAGTACTTTGACATTAGAGTACGAGTACGAGTACTCCAAAAAGTAATCGAGTAGAACTCGAGTACGACGAATACCGAGTACGAGTACTACAACACTGAGTGTAGGTTTCTGTTCTCAGGCCCACCCGGGTTAGATATGCGAAGGATGGTCTTTAGATGATTGGAACGGAGTCTCAGAGTGGCTGCGCAGTCTTTCCCCCGGTGGTGATTCGGTACGGAGTGACTCTTCAAAGCCCTTTGGCGCTGGCCGTCAAAAGTCTTCCCTTTTTGGGTCTGCTGACATGCCTGACAGGCCGCTGTCCAGCTCTGCCGCCAAGATTAGAGGTAGAGCTGTGCCTGGTAAGCTTCCAGCGACTACTAAGACTAAACGGGTAGCAAATTCACCAAATCGGCCCCTGGTAGGCCTCTGTCCTTGGGGCTTATTGCGGAGAAAATTCAGCCGGCAATACGGGGCCCGGAGACATGCCGACTTGGTCGATGTCCTCCGCTCCGGGGGCCGAGGGAGCCTCGGCCGATAACACGGTGCTCGGCGAAATTCCTGTTCGGCCTCTCACCACCGATACCGGGGCCGAAAAAGCCCCGACTGATATTCCGAGTGCACCGAGCCAGCCCATCGGCGGGCCAGGGGCCCGAAAAAAAGCTGGCGAGCCCAATGAGTCACGACACTGGTTCCAAATGTACGAAAGCATGTCAGTACCATCGAATGTATTCATTGCTCCTTGGCAAGTATTAGTTTGGCGAATCTTGTTTTTTGGATGTGTATATTTGGTAAGTCTTTGTTTTTGTATGTATTTGATAGGCAAGTCTTGTTTTTGATGTATATGTTTGGCGAACTTGTTTGTTGCAAGTGTTTGTTTGGCAAATCTTGTTTTTGCAAGTATTAATTTGGCAAGTCTTGTGTTTTTGCAAATATATGTTTTGCAAATTTTTGGTTTTTTTGCAAGTGTATGTTTGGCAAATCTTGTTTTTGCAAGTGTATGTTTGGCAAATCTTGTTTTTGCAAGTGTATGTTTGGCAAATCTTGTATATGTTTCCCGAGTCTTGTTTTTTGCAAGTATATGTTTGGCGGATCTTGGTTTTTGTTTAGTCTGTTAGGCGATGTGCATGAGGGCACTGTTGTTTGTGATGAAAGTACTCATGCCGATAAATAGCAACCAATTAATTCGTTATTACTTTAATTCAGGCCTTAATTTCGACGAAATAATTGCATCACTTCTCGCAAACAACAATATCATTACCAGCAAACGGCATCTAAACCGGAAACTGCGAGCTCTAGGTCTTTTCCAGCGAAAAAAAATCACACCGATATTGTAGACGTCGCCACCTTTATTGAAGGAGAGTTGCAAACGTCCGGGTAACTGCCTGGCTATAGATGAGTCCATCATCTCCAATGCGCCCGCAAGCGTTGTTCGCCCGACGCCAGCGCGGTGCAGGATACACTCTTTTTTTGCAAAAAGCAAGACTCAGGAAATGAATATACCTGCCAAAAAAACCCAGGATTTGCCAAATAGGCCTATATGCTTGCACAAAATAAGATTCGCCAAAAATATACTTCAAAAAAAAAAACTCGCCAAACATGTACTTGCAAAAAAACAAGACTGCTACTAAAATAGACTTCACAAATGCAAGACTTGCGGTACATACTTGAAAAACTAGGCTCGCCAAACGTAAACTTCCCCCCAAAAAGGTTTGCCAAACATATACTTACAAAACACAAGATTCTCAAAACATATACCTGCTAAAAACAAGTCTTGCCAAATTTATACTTGCAAAAAAAACAAGATTCGCCAAACATATGGGCGATTCCATATTGGTCAATTCAGGTCATTGTTTTAAAATGTAAAACCATTCACTCACACAAAACCCATAGGGATCGATCGTGAAAAAAAGGCGACACGTGCGATCTGCGAATCACCTTGACTGTTTTGAACTACATGTATGTGACTTTTATAGAAAATGCATGTTCTACCCATACGCTGCCATAGTTCGTTCCGCCAACAAATGGAATAAATTAAACAAGGGAGGTAAAGCATTAATACACTCCCACGGTAAAACCCTTTTCTCTAACCTCCATTGATATGGTTTGCTTTTCTTAATTCAAATTTAATGCCTTTGGCAAAAAGGCGGGAAACATGTTGTGTTACCGCTAACTTGTGAAGTTAGTGAGATTTGTGTGCCCATTTCCAAAAAAAAGTTCGTCAAATTGCGCAATTATATTGAAAGAGGCTAAGCTTTTTCTTCTTTTTTTCGTTCTCTTCTCCACAAAAACATCTCGTTCTAAGAATAATGGGTAGTAGCCAAAGCACCAGCTTAAAAGTGATTGGATACGATCATACGAGGATATGTATGTTGATGTTGAGGACGTTGCGTTCGCTGAAGGTACATTCCAACGGGTTTACCGGGGCAGATTTCCTGGAGATCACCGCGTGCATGGAAAACAGGGCGTGGTTAAAGTCTGCAAAGAGGGGTATTCTTCAGACCTACAAGAGTATGTCTGGAAAGCAGTCAACCGTGCCTATCTCAAAGCTCATGAGATTGCGCAGGGGTTTATCGCCTTGTATTAAATGAGCTAACCAATCGAGTTTATTACACGTACCACCATCAACTCCCCGTACCACTATCAATTTCCTAGGTTTCAAAGGATGCCCATATATCCCTGAAAAAGTAACCGTTGCACTCGAAAGGTACCTTGAAGGAGAGTATGTCAAATTCTCAAACAACACTGGGTATGTGTAACAGATGTAACAGATGGTGAAATTCTGGTTTGCGATCTGCAAGGGGTGCGCACTGTTCCGAGCGGTACAAAGCCGCACGAGTACGGTCCCAGTGACTGGGGAAATGTGGTAGCGTCAATTTTTATTACAGAGTCACGAGTGTAATGACTAATGTAAAGGGCTCAAGAAAGGCTCTTTCTGCGCATGTGTACTGAAAATTGATCAGTGATTAGCGAACTGGTCTACTGATGAACGTGAATTGCTGTTAAATGTAAAACTCTGCCAAGAACCGAATCATACTTTCGCAAGCCCTACTCCGTGAAGCGTTTTGGTCTAACTTTGAAAACAAGCCACTTTATGATTTCTTTCCATGCAAAGTTATCACTCCTCTCCAGTGTTTAATAGCTACCATGTACTAACCATGTGACTAGCGCGTTCGCTGCACCAGTTCAAGTCATCTTTAAAACTCAAAGCCAAGGGCCCAGATGTATAAGCGGTGGTGAAACTTAGGTTGTCTATAACCGTCTACAGACATTTCTGCTTCTAGTACAATTAAGGCATGGCATGTCAACAATTGGATACAATATGTTTTCTATATAAGGACCGACAGATTGTAGCGGTTGATCCCATGACCACTTTATTATATAAATGGTATAAATATAACTACTTGATAGATAGGTTTTTTGATACAGAAAATATATCATTGACAAAGTCATCAATACTGATGATTGATTATACTGCAAACAAAATGTTGAATTACTAAAAATTAACATGAACGCGCGAAATTCTTGCATTTTTTAAACAAAATTAATTTAAGTTTGTCTCTTTCGGGGTCCTAAATTACTTTACTTTTCATTTATTGAGGAGCGTTGAAAGTATTTGGGAGCAGTGAAAACGTCAAACTATTGCCAGAACCCAACACAATTTCAAAAGATATTTAACATAACATCAAATTTAATAGCAACCCCAAAACACTAAGAAAGTACAATAATGCAAATGGGGCAAAAATTAAAGTACAAAATAAAAATGTATTCAGGCAATACATTCAAGTAAAATAACATTAATGTTCTCATTCCAGGTAAACTAGTTTATTCTTCACAAGATGGGTGCTAACCAAAGCAACACATCCAAAGAAATTGGAAGCTCATCTACGTGGGTGGAGTTCGAGGACGACTGGTTCGCTCAAGGGGCCTCCCGACGGGTTTACCGGGGAACATTTCATGGAACCCCCGAAAAGGAAGGGAAACGATGCGTTGTTAAAGTTTATAAAGAAGAATGGTATGACGACATTGAAGAATACGCGTGTATAGTAGACTACCATGCTTACGAAAAAGCAAGTGAGATGGCACAGTTGTTTAATGTTCATGCAGCCATGTATCGAACAAACGTTAAGCCTGAGTTTGAGTTCGTTGAGCCCGAACTCACCAACGTTGACAACCGTGCTTCATTCCGATTCCTTGGCTTTCTTCCAATTAATAGAAAAGTCAAAGGCAAACTGGCATTCACAAGAGACAATGTCACAAACGTTATTCCTTCAAATGCGTCCGTACTTGTCGAAAGGTACCTTGAGGGGAATTACGTCAAATTCACGAGCAACTCTGGATTCACAGACCCTGAAAAAGGCGCCTTGCCAGCTGCCTTCAGTCATTTTACGTATCACGCATCTGGAGGCGAGATTTTGGTCAGCGATCTGCAAGGAGTGATGAGCGGTACACGGTACACATTCACCGACCCAGCTGTGCTGAGTGGAGGCACAGAGCTCGGCGTCTATGGCCCTACCGATTTAGGGAAATTCGGCATTGTAAGGTTTTTCAAGAGTCCCAGTTGCAATGAACTGTGTAAAGGGCTGAATAAACCCCAAATATTTAATGTTACGCGGGGTGAACAGGTGGTCATGGATCAAATTGTCCAAAACATGTCAGGCGAGAAGTCCTCCACATACACATATCAGCTGAGTGAGTCGTCTGACGTCCCAAAGTCTGAAGTCGAAAAACTACAGCGGAAAATAGAGCTGGAGACAATCCCAGAAGAATCTGACTCGGATGTAGAAACTGAATCCCACAGTGGCCTACAACAAATCGATTCGGTGTATACCACTATGTACGGTGAACTTGGGTCATCAAATACAATAGATCAAATCAAGGCTTCAATCAGCAAATCTATGCCAGACCCCAGTTCCTCATACATACATTCGCTGCGTATTTTGTCTGATTCAGATTCAGATTCAGATTCAGATTTATTTTCCAACTTGCATTCACTCAGGATTCTATGATTGCATAAAAAAAAAGTCTCCGGTTTCTGCGCGCGCGTCGCTGTACCCTTGCGCGTCGGCAAAATTAAAAAGTTTTCGTTTTTTTTCAACGTTTCAAATTTCCGGAAGAACGTTCGTGTCGATCGAGTTCGTAAGTGGGTGCAGAATCCTCAAGCCTTGGCCTTACTGAGGTCGCCACAGGCTCCACTGTGAATGATGTTTTTGAGAGTTTTAAGGGGATCGAAGCGTCATCGGGGGAAAAACCCACGTCGCCCCTCTTCACCTCGGATTTTCCCTCTGCAGTCTGTCTACGACGCGGTTGATGCTTTTTTGGTTCTGAAGGTGGCACAACAAACATCGTACAATTGGACCTTGTTCATGCATTGGGAAAGTGTCCTTAACTTCACAATCGCCTGCAACAGAACAGAAACAAATAATTATAATACTATAATAATACCGAAGTCTTATATAAAAAAAGAGCGCACGTATCTACCAACAATTAGGTACTCAAGGCGCTGGAAATTATGTTTATTATTAGAGACAGGTAAATTAAGTACATGGGAAATATGAGAACCATTATGTAGCATTTTAATAATGGTTTACAAGGTGCTGCGGCGCATTAAGCAGCCACTGCCAGAAACACCGGGGCAAACCCCTTCTCTTAGCGATAAGTGTTACTGGGTTATTTAACGGGCATTACACAACACACGGGACCTACGGCTTTACGTCCCATCCGAATGACGAAGCAATAATGGTAAAGTGCCTTGCTCAAGAGCGCAAGCACCATGTTCCCACGGTCAGGGTTCGAACCCATGTACCACGGTACACGAGTCGAACACCGTAACCTTTGGACCACAGCACCCCACGAAGGCTTTTCTGCAGGCACCTACGCAGAAAAAGCCAGTAAAATAGAGAAATGCATGGCTCTCTCACATTATCTTTGAAGCATTTCACTTCAATAGCCATGTAAGCCTCCTTTTTTACGACAAAAATGATACGAAGGTAGAATAACTGCAATTTTCAAGATGGCCGCATTGCAAGTTATTTCACCCGTTTTGTTTGGTTTTTTTTGTCAAAGGACAAATCTGTTATTTAGCAAAATATTTTTCCCCTGACATACTCTGACTGTGCCATATATCATGCCTTTATCATCGAATGAACAATCCCATCACCGATCTGCTGCCGTCCAAAACATCAAAGTAGGCCTACACTGTAGTAGCATGGCCTATGTACGTAATTATTTCATTAGTATAAATTCAAAGCGGGGGTAAATCTTTTCTTCCTGATATGAAATGTCTTTAAATTAGTATTTGTTAAAAAAAAGTTCCTACTTAATTAATGTAGAGTTCTATTTTAAAAGCAGAACCAATCATGTTCCTGTTGGGGTTTTTTTCGTTTTTGTTTTGTTGGTCAATAAACAAATAGTGATATCGCAGTAATAATGTCAAAAAGCAAAAGAACGGAAAGTCAAAGCTCTTTTCATGTACGCGGTTTTTATATAAATATATATATATACCAAGAGCAATATTCCATTTTGTCCAGTCATAATAAGTTTTTTTTTTGTACGTTAGTGTTACCCATTATATCGACTATGCATCCATATTGATGTGTTCCAATTTGTATTTGTACTTGTGTTCATTTCGTAATAACTTGTCCTTTTACGAATGTTTAATAATCAATAAAAAAAACACTAAATTAAACACAATTTCCTAGGGCTTACAAACGTAATTTAACACCACGTTTTGTGATGATAGCTATATGTAATAGTCTCAAATTGTTCAGTAAGTGGGTGAGGCGTGCACCAACGCAACCCACCGAAGATATGGTTAACATTTTCGCGTAATGTGTACACCTAGATGGTAATAAATATGTACTTTTTCATGTATGCGTGTTAGCATGTATATTGCTTTACAAAGTTCACGCCAGGAACAGAGTCTTTGAGATTTTTGCTGAATAAAACCATGGGATATGAACAGAAAGAGTCAGAACTCTCGGACGATTTACATTTTGACCATTAACATTCCAATCCCTCGAGAATGTCCAGTAACTAAAGCACTGTGACTGCAAGCCGGGACCATTCATTGCGTGAATGCAAGCGGCCTTTGAACACGATGATCGCCGCCGCCTTTTTAGTTAAGTTTTAGGTAATCTCCGTAATTTGGCTGAAAATCATATTTCTGATAAACCGGTAATTTAGAATGTACATATTTTCATGCCAAAGACACACATAGTTACTTCGTAAATGGTCTTCTAATGATACCTGACCCTCAAAACATGGGTTAAGACACCTTACTTGTTTTTGAATTTTTTAACATAGCAAATCGTGCTTTACGCATTTTTTCTGACCTAAAGACGTTTCTTATAAATTGATTTCCGAGGGTGCACGATACCCCACTTTTCTGACTAAACTACACGGCGATATCCACAAAGCGCTGCAAAACTCCTTCTTCTAGCATTACCACGGATTTCAATTACACAGAGATTAGCGTAGTGAGCAACTGAGTAAGCTGGCCGCCAGGTGCTTTCATTGTTGCTTTTGAGCGCGGCGACGATCATCAATGCGAAGTACTACAGGTTTATAACTCCTGTTCATAACTCCACTATAAAACTTCGTCGATGCCTGTATTTAGTGTTACAGTTTACCTTAACATTGTGCTGTGTTAATTGTCTTGTGTAGTAATTGTTTATGTATTTAGTAGAAATTAAGGTAATAAATAACCAAGCACCGAGATTCTTGTTTAACGGACTGTAATTTGTCTCGTCGGTAGCATTTGATCATCAAAGGCAGATCCAGGACTTCTTTGCGGGGGGGGGGGGGGTGTCAGGTCCGTCAGATTTGTGTTATGTCCGATTGGTGCAGACAGGCAGACATTAAAGATAATTGATATTTATACAATTTTGACATCTTTTTCGGGGAGGGGGTTTCAAATCGGGGTTCTAACCCCCAGAATCCCCCTGGATCCGCGACTAAAATAAAGTCTGAATTTGTTTGAATTTACCTTTCGAAGAACGTTCAAACATCACAGAAATCATATTAAAGAGGTGCTTATGGTGCCAATGTTTAGTCGCACCGTTAAAATATGCAAGGTTGCATGCATAGGGAACTGACCTTGTTTGCCATTATAGAATAAGGGCAAATTTATGTACAGATAAAATGCGACAATAAGTGATAAAAGTATCAAAGTTCTCATACCGGCAAGTCCAAGTTAAAAATTAACTGCCAAGTAGTGGGGCTGTATAAGATCAAATATCTGGTACAACTGTGCACTTTGTGACTATTAAAAACATTAAACTGAATATATGTCGGTTCCTCATGCCATGCGATGAAGACCATTTGAATTGTGGACACCGGGTGACCTTGAAGATGTCCATGCGGCCTGCATGCCAGTATGTTTCATGTTTGGATTGTTTACTTATGATCTGGTTAAAGGGAAACCAACCTAATATCTTACCGTTCGAAAAGTCGAAAAACCGGTTGATCAGATCGGACACGACGGAGTACGCATACGCTGTCCTTTTCATTCAATGTATGATACACGTTGTGTGTGCCACATAAATTTCACACAACACCAATGCACCAATTTTGTTTCTTACACGTCCGCAGAAGCAAATGTGTACACAATCTTGAATAGCCTTTCTGAACATGTAGAGGTCAACTATGAATGAAAAGACACGCTGAACTCTGTGATCTGCTCAATTAAATCTCATATATATGGACCCAAACGACTGGTGATCGCTGAACGGTTTCGATTTTATTAGCACACTCAAAATCCCAGTGAAACTGTAGCACTGTATTCTGTTGAATTGCAAACCTTGGCCGGGCCGTGTAAATTCCATATATTTCTTGATTATGCCCTCTGCGACCGGGTTTTGGCACACACATGTGTTTATTAAGAAACACTTTAATTTGCCAAAACGCTTGAAACAACCACAAAGGATCAGCAAAACGATCCCAAAACACTCTTTCGGTCGGTGTAATCATTGATGTACATAAATCTAAATACATGTATATACAGTATACGATGGGTATAATAGGCTTCATTCAAAGTCACATTTTCTCCCAAAATAATTTTCAAAATTAAAATCCATTTGGGTCACTATAAGAAATGATTGTCTGAGGCTACAAAATGCCAATTTGGAGCGACAAAAATCTTGTTCAGCCAAGAGGGAGCCCCAGGTGTCCGAAACTTCACAAACCCCTATAATATATAATCGTCAGACCCCTGGCCCTAAAGCTACGCACTCACCTTCAATTTGTGTGCTACAACGCGTGCGTGTTGCAAGCGTTTTACCTGCGCAGATATATTATCATGGGTCGAGGATACGGGAAAGTCGTCGCTCTCGCAGGTAATTGACCGACATTTTTTTAAAAGATACACATTAAAATGCTGATGAAAATCTCACAATTTGCTTCTCATTTTTATAATCACTTTCACATGTCTCGGTTATTATTACCCATATTACATGCATTAAATTATCTTCGTGTATTGCAGCATGCCCAGGGCATTCGTAATTTCGTTAAGAAAGAGATACTAACTAGAGAGGGCGCTATTTATCAAGATGGCGACCACCAGTACTAGCATTTTCACCACCTGCTGCACTTTTTCTGCCCTCGAAAATCCTTGCGAATCAATATGCCAATCTATAGTGTGTACGTTTTCAATCGGGCCAGGGGCCTGATCTACCAGATGGACCACACTCAACCGAAGACGGAGGTGGAAAAGACCTTCAGTTGCCCACTGGAATTGACGTTGAAAATTTGACGTTGTGTCATTCGGACAAACGGGATGGAATCAAAGGTTTGTCTTTCGTTCCTATAGTAGTAAAGAGTACTATTGACATGACTTATCCTAGGTTTTGTCAGCATTGCCAAGACATTTGAGGGGAAAAACAACCTCAACGCAACGGTATCCGATCACCTAGCCCCACTAGTGTGGCCTGGCCATGTCGGTATGCTGCGCTGAACCAGCGCAGCATACCGACGGCTAGCTGGAGTTACCCTAGCCCCATAATGTGGCCAG